CATCAATAAATCCTTTCATTTATGTGATCGACCTGCATTTAAACTGAATATTTACCACAAATTAAAGGTATCTTGTATTATTAGATATATTATTATAAAACATGCTTTGGTTAAGGAGTTATTGATACTTCAAGTGCAAAATGATGATATAAAACCTTGATAAAAATGCACTTTTAAGTACTAATCAATATTGCATTGATACAACTTCAATTATTAATGATAATCTTGCAACATTTATCTTTACATTTAATATAGGTGTGAAATATAGCAATCCTTCTCTGATCTTCGATTCCCTCGGGTTGTGTCAATACATATGTAACTACATTCAATCTAATTATCTTAAACTCTACGGTGTTTTGTTCATGATTGGTTCTAAAAATATCACTTAAAATTGAATCCATGATAGTTGTAAATTTAAAGTTAGATAGTAGATGACTATTCACAAATGCATGCAACATTAAATTAAAAATAGAATTAAGATCACATATGATTTATGCAAGTGAAATCACAATATAAAAATAAAATTAATTTTATTTTTTTAATATAGAGATTAATCATAAACAAAATACACCACAAATAAAATTTTAAGCATGTATTACTATACCCCTACGTATAAATAATTAACTAAATAAAAGGTTACAACTTTCACTAGTTTTGGCAAGGTAAGCAATTAACAAAAAAAAAAATTGATTGCTAAATTTCAATGATGGGAAGGGTTCATACACAAGAATATAACAAATAAAAATACTAAATGAGATTATTTTTTCAGGCACTTAAGATATTATCTATACAACTTTGAATAACAAGTACAAAATCAAAATAGTAAAACTCAACATATCAAAAGGTAAAATAATTTATTAGTGAGATTGATTAACTATGATGATAAACAACTTGGATCGTTGTTGATGTAGTGTTATTGGCATAAGCTAACATGTAAATGTCACCGTTTTTTTTTAGTTTTACTCTCATCCCTTTTTTTTTTTACTTTCTTTACATTTGATTTTTGACTCTTTTTATTCTCCAATCTTTTTTTTAATAAAACAAAAATAAAAAAAATACAAATAAAACAAATACCATCCAATTTGGCAGAAGTTAAAGCCCAGTGCCAACTCTTCACTTGGTGCGGAGGAATGCGGATTTTTGTCAAGACTTCGACCGGAAAGACCATCACCCTGGATGTCGAGAGCTCAGGCACTATTGACAAGGTGAAGGCTAAGATCCAGGACAAGGAAGTTATTCCCCGTACCAACAAAGGTTGATTGACAATAGTGAAAAATCCATGTTACTAGCAAATCTTTGTGAAAACCCTCACTGACAACTGTGGTGAATGATTGGTAGACTGATCAGAGCTGTGGTGGATCTCTTGCGTGACTGATGTGTTGCTGCTGTCCCTGGAAAATTGAGTATGTGCACCCTTTTTTTTTTTTTTTTTTTGAAGAACAATTAAAAATTATACTCTGATGTCAAAGTTAATATAACATAAAAAATAATTGAAGATGAAGTAATAAGTTAAAGAAGGAAAAAAGAGACTAAGGAGAAGAAAAATAAAAAGAAAAGGTTGAAGAAGAGAAAGAATAAGGGTTGAAAAGGTATATAATTTTGCAAATAACTTTATAATATTTAGAAAAGTAAGATATAAATATCAAAATTCTAACTAGAACAAACAATTAATCTTATAGCCCACTAAATAATACACTCAATCATAATTAAATTCAATTCAATAAATAAAATTTAACTAATAAACATTAATTAAAAATTCAAATACATTAAACCAAAACATAAGATAAAACCTAAACTTTCAATGATTCATGCTATCTTTTATTATCTAAGATCATATGATCATATAAACGCACAAACAATGTTTCGTCGATGTCCCCATCAAACATATACATCTAAGCTAGTTCATGTACATCAAGACTTGTTCGATGCAAATATAGATTCTTCAATGTCATGTCCAGTCACCACAATATTGGGTACAGCGGGAAGGCGCTGGATTCTGGTTGCATGTCTATGTTGCCTCGTGGAGTTAAATGCATCCAGGGGCATTTTAAGAAAGACGATCAGCTGAAATATCTCCTAACAGGAAAGCCATTGATTATTGTTTTCTTTTTGCAGCTTGCAACCTTTTGATTTTGCTGATGTCTGATATGGAGGGGGTATTTACCCTTTTTAACTTCATTTTATATTGGGAAGGTAAAGAAAAATCATAGAGAGAGCAATGATATATTGTTCTTAATGACAAACCGTAATCAAGTTTTAGGAACTAACAGTTTTCTCAAATTATCTAATATTGCATACAGCATATATAGATATGCAAGCCATTCCATGTAGAAGTTGGAAAAGGATGAGCTTCCAATACCACAATAACAGACTAACCATAACAATTTGCGCACTGGAAGCTTATGAGTTCTGACAGTTTCGAGTTTTACTTCAAGATTTTGGATTCAATTTCTTCCAAACTCAAACCTTTAGTCTCTGGGACGATGACCACTACAAACAAGAGAGACAACAAAGCTATAGCCCCGAAAAGGAGAAAAAGGTTCTCAACTCCAAGCAGCTCCTACAGAAAGGACAGATATTGATGTAATGATTCAACTCCCAGTAGAGAAAAATGCCAATCATGAGCAACTAGGTCGAAGGAAAAAATAACAGATGTGAAAGGAAAAGGAGTAACAGAGATCAAATTCAGAGCCCCTACCTTCAATGGTGAGAATGCAAAGGTTACAATGGCATTGGAGCCGAAGTTAGTCAGAACTGCAAGACTGATTCCCCTTCCTCTGGTGCGAAGTGGGAAAATCTCTGAAACCATCAGCCAACTAATAGGCCCAAATGATATCTGAGATTTTGAGAACAAAATTATCAGAACCAACCTTACCTTTTTCTTATGGACAAAGAGCATCTTATGGGGGCTGAGGTGGTTATGTTTTAATTTCTTGTTTCTCTTCTTTTCCTTCTTTTGAAAGAAACTGTAGGATAATGGCTACAGCATCTTATTCTATATTCTATTAGCTTTTGCAAACCAAATATGATACTATGCCAGTATTCCATCTGATAGTTACAGGAAAAATAGACTTGTGTGACCACAGCCAAAGGAAAATAGACTTGCCTGGTAGCAACCGACATATAGAAGCAGAGCTGCAACAGCAACAAGTGGGAAACCTCCAAGAAATTTGTAATAAGCAGAAAGCAAAAACAAAGAAAGAGCCTGTAACACAAACATATGGAAAGCAGAATACGCATTCATAAACTTCCAAAAAAAAAATAACAGAGAGAGAGAGAGAGAGATAATAATGTTCTAGAGAGTAATAGCATCCATACAATCCCACTGACACCTCCAATTAGCAATGGTCTTCTTCCGAGGTCATCGACTTTTAGGACAGCTATCCATGTCATCGCCAACTGTAGCAGACCAGTCAGCAACAAATAGGAATTGGCATCAGAAGTAGGAGAGTGGATGGCAGTTGGCACAAAAAACAAATACGAGTCATAATTTTAGAGGCTTCATGATAAGATCTTATGCAGTACCTTGAACAGACCAATTACAACAGAGACTCTCGTGGCATCAGCAGCTGCAGAGAATCCAGCACTCTTTGGAAACAATTGATCAAACATATCACATGATCGGAAAATGGCATGAAGGGTATCTTCCATTTCACAAACAGAAAGGTTTAATTTTTATTATTAATTACCTGAAGTATTGGACCTGCGTAATATAGAACACTTGGTTGCCCTGTTATCTACCATGATCACAACAAAAGTCAGCTCATAAAAATGATATTGTTGACATTCTCTTATTTCAACCACAAGAATAGAGATTAAAAAAAAAATTAAATTATATCATAAACAGCAGAGAGGAACAAGCACCTGTTGGAAAAGCACCAAACCCCCACCAATAACGAATGCTTTCAAACTCGGTCCTTGAAGTACCTCCCAGAAACTCCCCTCAGTTTCATCTTCTTTATATGCAGACTTCAGTGAGACCAGAGCTTCCTCTATTTGTTTCTCAGACACTTTGTCACCAGGAGGCCGGCCCCTAAGTTTGCTCAAGGAAGAAATGGCCTTCTCTTTATATTCCTGGAAAGATCCTTTACCTTGAACTGCTCTGAGGAGCAACCATCTTGGAGATGGTGGGAGACTCCACATGCCTAATCCCATAAGCAAAGAAATTGGGACACCAAATCCATACATGTAACGCCAGCCCCCAACTGCATTAATTTGGATGCTTCCAACTAAAAAGCCCATCTGTAGAAATGATATCAAATTTGTTATCCTCTTAAGTGATGGTGAATAAGATGACAACAGTGTAAATTCTCAAATTACCAGAATTCCTAGAACTATGAAGAGTTCCTTCAGAGATATGAGAGTTCCACGAATCTGTGATGGGCAAGTTTCTGCAATATAGAGAGGAGCGCCATGCATGGCCTGCAAACAATAAAATAAAGTGATTTGATAGATAAGGACATTGCAGTATCAGTTAAATCTTCAACAACAAGGTTGTCTGTGAGAATCTGACCAAGCCAATACCAAGACCATAAAGAAGACGTCCGAATAAAAGAACATTGAGACCTGGTGCATAGCCAGTGACCAGACCACCAAACACATATAACAATGCTGCTGCGATTAGTTCCCGCCTCCTTCCTTTAAGCATGAATCCAAACAATTAGGTAAACAACATCCATCAAGATGCATTGAAATTCAAGGTAAAGTCTATAGCAAAGAGATGTACCCAGAAAATCTGCAATTGGATAGACAAGGAGGGAACCAAGAAGAGCTCCATAAAGAGAACCACTAACCTACATCCAATGCCAACCACTATAATGAGAGACCCAACACATTCCCACAACTAGCGAGTACGAAGTAATATTAAGATGCACAAAACATCGTTCTTAAGGGGGAAAAAAGGTAGAAGAGATAAAATCTATACCACAAGACCAAGCTGAACAGCAGAAAGGTTGAACCATGATATCCCGCTAAGCTCAGCTGACTGACAAATTGAAAAAAAAATGGATACAATCATGGATTACAATGTTACTTGTCATCCAAATTTATGCTATAAAATAAAATGTAATTGTTGGGTAAAACTATGAGAAGGGACCACTAAGCGAAGCACCTGCAAGGATAGGGTAGCCCCAGAAGTGGCCCCAATGTCATACCCAAATAGCAATCCTCCCAGTGCTGGGAAGAAAAATCTGAAATTTAGTGAACCAAATTACTTCAACAGAGTTGTGGAACAAATGATCGAGTCCAATCCAAATTCAGTAACAAAAACAAAATCAAATCCAAAGTAAAAGACTTTTCATTGCGCCATCACTTAACATCTATCTTACTAATATTAGCAATATTCCTTAATAAAACAAAGCCACAAAAATCCCACAATAGATAAGATAATCCAGCCCTTATCCAACAAAATTTAGATCAAGCCAAAAATCAAATCAGCAAAAAAAGTGAAACTAACAGTCTCAAGAAAGAAACAACTACAATAACTCACGGCAAAATGACAGAAGACCAAGAAAAGTCTTCCTGATTTGTGGTGTCAGTTACAAGCGGCTCTGCTTCCTCTCCAGCAGAATACTGAACCTACACAAACAATTGCTTCAAAATCCAAACCCAAAGAAAGCAAAAGGGAGGTCGTTTATGATTCTTACATTGAATCTCAGTTTCGGAGCAGAGAGCAAAGGCCGGTGTGAAAAAATGGGAATATTCTTGTTGGGTTTGAAAAAACATGTAGTTTTTGATGTTGGGTTCTTCTGGTTACCAAAGGAGCAGAAGACGATAGAGTGTGGTTTGGGTGGTTGGTGGTGAAAGGGAGAGTGAAATCGTAAGGGAGGTGGTGAGGTTATTGCGCTGTAAGCCATGATCACTGACTGACAATGTCAGACAGTTGTTAGGCGTTAATTTCCCGCTTTTTTATATTATTACGACTGCGGAACATCACCGGAGTTAGAGTATGATATTTTTAGATTGAGAAAAAAAAAATGAACGCATGTGGATACGGGTTTAAGTAAAAACCGTTATCTTCATAAACAAATATCAACAACAGTAGTAAAACTTTAGTGCTGGGGCGACATGTCGTTCATGATATTCATGATCTTCTGCCTGACTCGCTAGGAAGGCAATTTAATTCGAACTAAATGTTTATTGACCCAACTCAAATAAGTTGGTATTTTTTGAACTTGATAAATAATAAGTTGGATATAAATTATATCAATCTCAATCTGAAATATATATTTATATTATATAAATATATTTTTAAAATATTTAATTTTTTTAATACTATACACACACATATATATATATATTAACTATTTTGTTTTTTATTGATTAATAAATAATAATAAATAACAGATAATATCTAAAGCTCAAAAATATTAATAAAAGCATTTTAATAAATAAAAATTTTCTTTGTCATTTGCCAACCCTCTAATTCTATTCTTAATTATCATTTGTATTTTTATTACCATAAATGACACTTAAAGCTAAACTCTTTCAAATAATAAATGTATATATATATATATATATATATATATGAGGTTTATCAATATATCATATATCATGTAATGACCATTGTTTATTATATAAATATTTAAACTTGTTATTTTTTATGTGTAAGAATTAGATACTCAACTACTGCACTATATTGTAAGAGCTTAATTTTATCTAAACTCTTGTATTTAAATAATGTGAATGCTAATAGAAAAATACACATCTAAGCATTTTTAGTTATTGTGATATCAGAGTAGTAATTGATCCATTCCTTCTTCTTTTTTCTCTCTTCTCAATGTATCTTTATTGGTCTTCATCTCATGACCATCAAATCCAATAGTCCATCTATTGTTAATACTAGTGAACCATACTAAACACTTATCAGTATTAATGTTGTTGCACAAACTTCTCTCAAATTAACATTTACCAATTATCTTTTCTGAAACTCCAATTCCAAACTCTCTTTATTGGTTACAACCTTCTTGGCTATGTTGATGGTTCTAACCCGTGTCCCTCAACCATTATTACACAATCTAATATAACCAGACGAAACTCCAATTAATTCCTTTGAACCTGTCAAATTAGTTGATCCTCAATGCACTCATTGGCTCCCTTTCACCAACCATCATTCCATTCATAGATCAAATCAATACCTTCAAACAAGCCTGGATCATCTTCACCAATACCTATGCCAAACCCTCTCGTGGACAGATTAAATATATCACAACTCAACTCAAAAATACAATCAAATGATCATTTACCATCATTAAGTTCATACAAATAATCAAAATCAGAGTAGATGAACTAGCTCTTCTTGGCGCACCATTAGATGAAGAAGAAATCACATATAAAATTCTTGATAGCCTCAATGATGACTACAAAGAATTAGTTCATATTGCATAAGCACGGGATAACTCCATTACCTTTGAAGAACTCTATGAAAAACTTCTAAACTTTAAAGTTTTTCTTCAAACAAACATATCTGAGCAACACTAATTTCCAGCCACTACCAATTCCACATCTAAAGACAACAAAAATTAGCACCCCTTCAATCCTTAACACAATGCCAACACCAACTGGTGTACACCATATTTTTCTGCCTACCACCCATCTACTACTATCAACACAGGGTTCCTCCATTCCACAATGCCTTCGACCTCCTCCCAAGCCATATCTTGGTCGCTGTTAAATCTAGTCTTCAAGGCCACACAGCCAAGCGATGCCTCTTTTTTTTTCATTTAGTCCCAGTCCAAACATCTTCCACATCCAACACCACTCTATGGCAACCACAAGTTCATCTTACCACCAATCTTTTCTTGAATCAATCATGACTTCTGGACAACTATGCATCTTACCATGTCACTTCTAATCTCAATAACCTCTTATTGCATACATCATACATAGGCCATGATGATATCATGATCGGAGATGGTGATTCTTCCTATCATTCACGTCGGTTTCACCTCTCTACATACTCCTCCTAATATATTTACATTAGACAATGTTCTTTATATCTATGCAAAAGAATCTAATTTATATATCTCAGTTTTATCGCTCTAACAAAGTTTCCATAGAATTCTAACCAAATTCTTTTCTTGTAAAGGGCCTTCACACAAGGACAATGCTGCTAAGAGGATGCACTAAAGATGGTGTTTATGAGTGGCCAACTTCCTCTCCATCGATTGTTTTTTCCATAATAAAAACCACCTCATTTGACTGGCATCATGGACTAGGACACCTTGTCTTTTCAATTCTTAAACATGTTGTTTCCAATAATAATTTTGTATCATCTTCTTCATTGTCTCATAATTTTACTTGTAATGATTATCTCTACAATAAAGCCATAAATTATCTTTTTTCCAACTTTACAATTGTCTCCACATAACTCCTTAACATCATATTTATGGATGTTTGGACCTCTTTAATTTTATCAACTAATGGCTTTAAATACCATGTTATTTTCATTAATCATTTCACTAAATACATCTAGTTGTATCCACTTAAACAAAAATCCAAATTCAATGAAGTCTTTAGAAAATCACTTCAATTCATCCATTAAAATTCTTTATTCTGACAATGGTGAAAAGTACATTGCCCTTGTTAATTTCCTTTCATCCTCTAGTATTTAACATCTAACCACTCCACCCCTACACACCTGAACACAACGGATGCTCTGAAAGAAGGCATCTTTATATCATTGAAATTGGACTTGTTTTACTCTCTCACGCTACCTTACCCCTTTCTTACTAGCTTTGCGCCTTTTCTATAGTCGTATATCTCATAAATCGACTACCTATACTCGTATTAAATCTCTTCTCTCTTTTTCAAAAAAATATTTCAAACTCCACCAAATTACACTAAATTAAAAAAAATTGGTTGCCTCTGCTATTCTTGGCTCAGAATTTACACCTCTTATTAACTAAAGTCACAGTGTAAACCTTGTGTTTTTCTTGGCTACTCTTTTACTCAAAGTGCCTACTATTGTCTAGATTCATAAAACTATAAAATCTATGTATATAGGCATGTCAAATTCATTAAGTCTTAATTTTCATATGCCTCTATGTCCAGTACGTTCCCACCTTTTCCAACCAGCTCCATCAACACCTGGATACTTTCACCTTTTCAGGTTGTGTTCCCTAATCCCCAGCTGCCACTCACACCACCATCTAAAGGTGTTATTGGTCAACACCTTCCATGTACAGCTACAATATCATTTGTCACACCAAACACTCTAACAGACACCTCCCGCTTGTCCTCAACACCAACTACTACCCCATTTATCACTAACACATACACAAAACAACTTGCACCCTATGAACGTGTCCTAATTCCCACTCACTTTATGACCACACGATCAAAGAACCAAATACATAAGCCCAACCAAAAACTAAATCTGAATACTTTAACTCATAAAGCTTAATAACCTCGAACCAACCTTAGTGACTAAAGCACTTACTTATCCTAAATGGTGTCAGGTAATGTATGTTGAATATGATGTTTTGGTTCGAAATGGAATGTAGGACATTGTACCACCTACCTCCAACCAAAATATAATGGGATGTAAATGGATTTTTCATATTAAACATCATTCTAATGGCTCTATTGACAGGTTCAATGCATGTTTAGTAGCAAAGGGTTTTTACCAATGCCCAAGCATTGATTATCTAGACATTTTTATTCTAGTTATCAAACCAACTATAGTGCATGTTGTTCTTAGCCTTGCTATATCTCAGGGCTATGACAACTTGACGTGAACAATACATTTCTTCAAAGACATCTTTTTGAAACAATGTTCATGCAACAACCACCTGGCTTTGTTGATCAAGATCATCCAACCTATATTTCCAAGCTTCAAAAGGAATTTATGGCCTTAAACAAACACCTTAGGCTTGGTATCATGAACTTTGCATTTTTTTTCTTTAGTCAAGCTTCAAAAATTCTCATGCTGACACTTCTCTTCTTGTTCTCACTACTGCCGGTCATATTATTTATCTCTTTATATATATGGATGATCTAATCATCACTGATGATAATATTAAGTCGATTGACTCTTGTGTTGCTTCTCTTTCTCATTGATTTTCAATTAAAGATCTTGGTTAAGTAATATATTTCAAGTAACATATTTCTTAGGTGTGAAAATAGTACCTAATTAGTATGGTGTCCTATTCTTTCAAAGGCAATGCATCTTAGATATATTGGCTCGAACTAAGATGACTGAATTAAAACCTGTGCTCACTCCAATTTCAACAAACCCACCTCTATTGTTAAAATCGAGTACTGCCCTCACTGATCCTACAAAGTACCGTGCCATTGTTGGTAACCTCCAATATCTCCAGACTACAAGGTCTAACCTTGCCTTTGCTGTTAACAAGCTATCTCAATTTATGCACGCACTGACAATTGAACACTAAACCTTTGTTAAACATCTATTATGGTATCTCTATGGAACTGTCAATGAAGGCCTACAAATACATTGTTAGTCACTAATGCAACTTCATGCTTTTTTGGATCATACTAATCATGGCTTTCAACAGGATCTTCAAGAATTTCCCTTCTCGGATCATACTCATCATGGCTTTCAACAGGATCTCCAAGCATTTTCCAATTCGGACTGGGTAGGAGACAAGGATGATTACTCTTCTACTAGTGCCTATGTCATTTACCTTGATCGTAATCTTGTCTCCTAGAGCTCTAAGAAGCAGAAATTATTGTTCGATCATTCATAAAAGCTTAATACAATTCAGTGGCCAATGTAGTAACAGAACTCAACTAGCTCTACTACCTTCTATCTGATCTTGGCATACAACTCCCCTATTGTCCAGTTATATTCTGTGATAATGTTGGTGCCACTCAGCTCTACTCCAATCCAGTGTTTCACTCTAGGATGAAAATATTGCAATTGATTTTCACTTCATTCAGGATCAAGTGCAAAATAATGTACTTCATGTCGCCCATGTAACTTCAGCAGACCAACTAGCTGATGCACTCACCAAACCTCTTTCATATGCTCATTTTCTTGATTTCAAATCCAAGATTGGACTTCTTTCTAGAACTCCATCTTGAGATGGCATATTAAAGGCTTATCATCACATCTTGTAACAGCTACTGTTTTTATTATATAAACATTCAAACTTATTATCCCTTACGTCTAGGAATCAAATGCTTAACTATTGCACTATATTGTAGGTGATCAATGTTATTTAAAATCTTGTATTTAAATATTGTGAATGTTAATTGAAAAATACACACCTAAGCAATTTTTTATTGTCAATTAACACCTGAAATTCTAAATTTGAAAGGATTAAGATTAATAGATGGAAAAGCTATTTTAAATTTTTACAATTTAATAGTTAATCTATTTCCTCTCATTTCACTTCTCATTTTCTTAGTGTGTTCAAATAACATAAAGGTGTCACATATGGCCGCATTTCTTCTATTATGTTATTTCAACTCTATTTATTTTTTTTAGCATTATGTAGTGTTTATTTCCATTTCCTCTCATTTCACTTCTCATTTTTTTAGTGTATTCAAATAACATAAAGGTGTCACATATGACCGCATTTCTTATATTATGTTATTTCAACTCTATTTTTTTTTTTAGCATTATGTAGTGTTTATTTTTAAAGTATCTTTTAACCTTGTATAAAAATCCATTATTTTTAAATTAATATTAAAATTTGAGGGGGGTCTTTTTGGAGTAGCGCTTCGTTGTGCGTTAATTACTTTGTGAATTTTTTTTAAAATAATTTTTTTTTGGAGTAGCGCTTCGTTACTTTGTGAATTTTTTTTAAAATAATTAAACCTCATTCCTTTAATGAATATATATAATTGAGGAGGGAGGGCCTAATATTCTAAATAATGGAAAGGAGAAGGCCGGGGGACAAGTTTTCTTCGCAATCTATAATTTCACTATTTACATAATAAAAACATGCGATATCTCCTCCTTGACAAAAATGTTAACAGTAAAAGAAAATTCAATAAAATAAGCGTATTGGATGACAATCTTAATGCTAACGATACTTTTTCATCAGAATTCTTTTTATATTTGTATTAATATATGAAAATCATTAAAAAATATCGAAAAATAAAAAAAATTAAAAGAAAAGACAGAAGAAGAAGAGAGTACTGCAATATTGTATTGCGGAGGTTGCCATGTCCCCATCCTAGCCAATAGCTACCCCTGTAAACATATATTTACTTGTTGCGCAAGTTTGATATTTTTATAAAGTGGCGGTTAGGCGTTGGTAAATTGCAGCAAATACGTGAAAAGCGATTGAAAAGGCTGGAAAACAATAATCTACTTTTCTATTGATTAATCAACAAATTAAACAATATTAAATCACCCTAATTACATTAATAAATTAATTTGTAGGGATCGAGCTTGCATTATTATAATATCACGTTTATGTATAGTCTCGTGGCTATAAAATGGAGTGCTAACCCATGCATGGAACACATCGAAGTATTAATTTATCACACGTTAGACTAAAAGGTACGTAGTGATTTAATGGAGATCAGTGCTAAAAAGTGGAGTTTGGCGTTGATGGTGGCTATGGTGCTTTTAGCCGCCGGTGCACCGGCCTTCACTCTCGCCAGAATTCAACACCCAATATCCACTTTCGATGCCAGTAAGATTATCAAAGCCATGAATTCTGGAGATAAGCTGAGCTGTTCAGGTACATGCAGCATCTTTACTGGTTGTTCTAGTGGGTGCACTTGCATCCCTCTTAGTATTTTCTGGGGGGTTTGCGTTTGATCGTGACCGAATCTCCGGCAAGGGTGGTCAAATTACTAAATAAATATGGATGGTTTTAATTAGCATCCATTAAAATATATAATCAATAATATAAGTTTTGTGTTCTATATGCATGCATGCATGTTGTTTTAAATCATATGTATTATATATCTCCCTGTACTGTTATGATCTCTTGTAATATTTTTTTGTATTGTGGTTGTTGGGATTTGAATATATAATATATAATTACTAGGAATCGGCCTTGCCATGCACACACTATCTTTTTTTCGTTTGAGAATCCTTGCTTAATTATTACTTTAAAGTTAATAAAAAAATATGTATTTGGTAGTGTGGTTATGTTATTTTTTAAATAATTTTTCATACTAAAATATATGTTAATAATATTTTTTTATTTTTTAAAAATTATTTTTGACATCATCGTATCAAAATTATTTGAAAAAATTAAAAATATATTAATTTAAAATTAATAAAAAAAATTAAATTTGTGTAAAAGCACTTCTGAAATACAAAAATAAAAATTATTTGATATAGAGCTAAACCCCTCATAAAAAAATATTTTTTCTTCATTCCAGCATGGTTTATATAAAAAAATCACCAGTACTCTTTTTTATTAAATTATTTTTATTTTAATATATTTTTAAATAAAAAATATTATTATAAAAAACTACTTTGAGATATTTCAATCATGAAATATGCGTTGAAACTCGACCAAATAGTCGTTCATTTTTGTTCCTTGAACATATCCATTTTGAGACCTCAATTGGATGGATGCTATAAAACCCATGAAGTTTGAAAAGAAAAGGTTGGTTTTGGTTCTTAAACTCTTAATTCTTATCAATTTGATCCCTAACTTTTTGCAGTATTGAAATCTAACTCTTGAACTCAATTTTATTATCCCTTGAATTCAAATTCAACACTTCAAGAGAGAAGACTGTAGTGTTCTCTGTCAGAGCATCATCTCTAATTTATACCTGATTATATTGTTAAGATATTATTTGCGATTCATATAAAAAACAATGGAGTTCGATGGAAATCGATAGTGTCCAAGAATCTAGGCTGTTCTTACAATAACCAACTTAGATGCAAGGACGTACTCTCTCATGGAACTCCTCGGAAATTAAGTAAATATGAAATTGTAAGGAAGCTGCTTTTTAAAAATATAATTTTTTATTTTAAATCAATTTATTTTTATGTTTTCGATCATTTTAATGTGTTAATGTTAAAACTAAATTTTAAAAAATAAAACATATTATTTATATTTATTTTCAAATAAAAAGTATTTTAAAAAGTAAATTTTGCTATAATATTTCCAAACACTAATTGAGCTCTAAAAAAAAATTTATTTATTTTAAATATTTTTTAATGTTTTTATATTATTTTAATCACCAGTACTCTTTTTTATTAAATTATTTTTATTTTAATATATACAAATCACCAGTACTCTTCTTTATTAAATTATTTTTATTTTAATATATTTTTAAATAAAAAATATTATTATAAAAAACTACTTTGAGATATTTCAATCATGAAATATGCGTTGAAACTCGACCAAATAGTCGTTCATTTTTGTTCCTTGAACATATCCATTTTGAGACCTCAATTGGATGGATGCTATAAAACCCATGAAGTTTGAAAAGAAAAGGTTGGTTTTGGTTCTTAAACTCTTAATTCTTATCAATTTGATCCCTAACTTTTTGCAGTATTGAAATCTAACTCTTGAACTCAATTTTATTATCCCTTGAATTCAAATTCAACACTTCAAGAGAGAAGACTGTAGTGTTCTCTGTCAGAGCATCATCTCTAATTTATACCTGATTATATTGTTAAGATATTATTTGCGATTCATATAAAAAACAATGGAATTCGATAGTGTCCAAGAATCTAGGCTGGTCTTACAATAACCAACTTAGATGCAAGGAGGTACTCTCTCATGGAACTCCTCGGAAATTAAGTAAATATGAAATTGTAAGGAAGCTGCTTTTTAAAAATATAATTTTTTATTTTAAATCAATTTATTTTTATGTTTTCGATCATTTTAATGTGTTAATGTTAAAACTAAATTTTAAAAAATAAAACATATTATTTATATTTATTTTCAAATAAAAAGTATTTTAAAAAGTAAATTTTGCTATAATATTTCCAAACACTAATTGAGCTCTAAAAAAAAATTTATTTATTTTAAATATTTTTTAATGTTTTTATATTATTTTATGTGATAGTATCGAAAATAAATCTAACAATATTTTAAAAAATATATTAAAAAATAATATCAAATAGAATATATAATTTTCATATCAACGGGCTATCACATGAAAAATGAATCAAAATATAAGGTTATTTTTTATTTTTTTAGTAAAATAATATTATTTAAAAAAAAATTGTGTTTACCTAGGGTAAGCCAGTATCTTTTTCAATTCAGATTAAATCCCAATATAAATCGAATGTGAATTTTCCCGGGGTTAATTTAAATAAAAAACTACTTTGAGATATTTCAATCATGAAATATGCGTTGAAACTCGACCAAATAGTCGTTCATTTTTGTTCCTTGAACATATCCATTTTGAGACCTCAATTGGATGGATGCTATAAAACCCATGAAGTTGGAAAAGAAAAGGTTGGTTTTGGTTCTTAAACTCTTAATTCTTATCAATTTGATCCCTAACTTTTTGCAGTATTGAAATCTAACTCTTGAACTCAATTTTATTATCCCTTGAATTCAAATTCAACACTTCAAGAGAGAAGACTGTAGTGTTCTCTGTCAGAGCATCATCTCTAATTTATACCTGATTATATTGTTAAGATATTATTTGCGATTCATATAAAAAACAATGGAATTCGATAGTGTCCAAGAATCTAGGCTGTTCTCACATGACCGTTTAGGGGGGTAACTGCCATCCAAAACTTCACTGTTTTTCTTCTTCTTCTTTTTTAATTCTCACCTTCATAACTGAACCCCCTTGCTCTGTGCTTCTTTATTGACCGCTCCTATTAAACCCCCTCTGCTATGAAAGTTGACTCTCGGCAGAGCGAGAGAGGGACGGGGGCAGAGATAACAGAATCTGTTGCAATATTATTGTGGTTGGCATCAGGTAGAGGACCATATTGTTTGCTCGTTCTTCTGATAGCAGCTAGCATCTTCAAGAATGGAGCTGTATGATGGCAACGTGTTTCGAAGACCAGCACACGCACAAGCAATACCCGTAACCGATACCAAAGCATGGAAGCCACTCACGAGGCTACAGAAGCAAGCCCCGGAAGCTCTGAGACTTGATCAGCTCTCCATCACTGCCTCAACCAACCATTCTCTGCCTGCTAGCCATACCTCTCCTCCTCTTACTCCAATTCCCCTTCTATCACCACTCTCTGTATCTCCTCCACCATTGCCATCTGAGGCAGAAGAATTTACATTTCCTGTAATATGGGGTGATGTTGACAAAGGGAGGGAAGTTGGTGTTGGTGATGCATATTCGGAGGCAAGAGTTTGGCAGCATCCAGCAGTGGCCGGTGGATGCACCGAGCCATCATCCTTGTTT